TGCAGCTCCTGGGGAAGGACTGCCTCGAAACGCCGACAGGAGCCGCGTGGGCCGCGCCTCGGCGCCGCGCACAAGGCAGTGCTGCCCTAGCTCGGGGGCTGGGTTATTGTTTGGGGGGGGGGTTGCTTCAAAACTTTCAGCAGAGCGAGTCCGTCCAGCTCGGGCTCTCGGACTGGCCGGATGGGGAAGGACTCGCCCCGGCCGGGCTCTGTTTGCAGCCCCCCCGTGTTTTCCTTGTCTTCTGCTAGCTGTGCGAGACCGAGAAGTGCGGCAAGAGCATCGCGCACCTAGCTGCAGCCCGTTTGCACTCGCTGAAGACCCTAGTGTAAACGTGGAGGACCCGTCGGGCAATTCTTTTACTCAAAATATAAGATAAAATAGAGTTTGGAAAAAAGTAAGTTCACATAATGAAACTGATACGGCAGACAGTTATTTCATATTTGACTAGCCATGGTATGTCTTTCAGTTTACCCGCTAATTAAATCGAGTTCCTTCAGTTGTGCCACAGAAAACTGTTCTTTAAACCTTGCACATCTGATTTCCATGATCCTGTAATGTCCCTGTAGTGACTGGGACAGGGAACGCAGCACTTCTGTGAGCATGGTTAGAAATATGAGACTGACAGGTTGTTCTCTTAGAGCAGGGGTTCCCAAACATGTACGTGTACCCCTGGGGGTACACAAGACATCTCTGGGAGGTACAAAGGAGAAATTGTGTAACGGCAGATTTAATTTTCATTATAACTGGCATTTAAGGGGTTAAAACAAACTGTATGGTGGTAGGTATATGCAGGCAGCTGGTAAATCTGGAAGCGGGGCCACAATAAGAAAAGTTCTGGGAACTTCTCTCTTAGAGATTCGACAAATCAGAATCTTAAAAAAACCAAACCAAAAACCCCCCAAAAGAAAAAAAAGGCAGCTGGATTAAGGTAGAGCATTAGAAATCAACAGTGTGGTCAGTTTTTAAAAAATATTCTAAGATGTTTTGTACCTTAGTAATTTCAGGTTTCTTATAATGTAATCGAATATATTATCTCTGACCTCAGCTCAAAAATTCTAAGTATATTTCTTATGTGTGTATTTTAGCATAAATCCTTGTTCATTGTAATTTAGTTAATACATGTAAAATAATCTGTGCTAAAACATCACACTTGAAGAAAGAAACCCAAAAAATAGTAATTAGTTGTCAAAGATAATGCAGGCCTCTAAAATATCAGCCCACTCTACACATTTATTTTATGTGGAGCCATCTGTGGCTTCACTTCCAGGAGTTTTATCAAGGTTTTCAAACTATACAGTGTGCACAGATTTTCAATCCTCTTCTGGGAATTGGACAGATCTTCAGTTTGCGTGAAACTCCTACACACATTTATCTTGTTCGCTTTAGAGATATTTGGTTTTATTTAACAACTAATAAAATGGACTGAGAATGAATAGTCCTGTGAAGAATTATAAGAGGCAGAACTGGGGCAGTATATGTTACTCAGCAGGCCTGGAATGAGGGAGAAACAATGTTGATGGCATTGTTTTGGAATATCAAGCAGGTAGGAAGGACAGCTGGGCTAGCACGTCTTTATTAGAATAATAAAAATAGTAATGCTTTACACTTTTTTGGTCTCTCTTAGCCAAAGGATCTGAACATGCTTTTTTAACACCTCTGAGATATTAAGGATTCTCTCTCTCTCTCTCTCTCATTTTTACAGATGGGGAGAAGGAGGCACAGATTGTTTAGTGATCCAAAGTCATCTAGTAAATCACTGTTAGACACAAATAGAAACATTTTTTGACTTTTGTTCCTGGGCTGGACATGTTGAAGGAGCTTGCCAGGGAACCAGTGGAGAGATGAGGTTGTTGGAAGTGGAAGAGGATGGAAGAGGTCCCCACCAAAGCTGGCTGAGGAGAGGCAGCTATGCAATATTGGCTGATTGCAGTATAGTAAAAGTGCTGCACATTTTGATTTTATGGCCTGTGGGCATTTATTGGGCTGTTCAAGTCCTGAATGGAATGGGATATGTGACAAACATACATTCAGTATTATTAAAAGACTGAACAAAACCATTATAGCAACCCTCTTGGTTCTAAAGAATTGACAGGTCCATCCCACCTAGGTATTAAAATAAATCTATACAGAGCCTTGCTAACCATTGATGCTAAATATATATTTTAAGCATTCTTAAAAATCTCCTCAAGGCCAAATCACTCTTCAGGTAAATCTTAAGTCAAATACACTGATGCATTGTTAAAGACTAAAATCTATTTCCTCACAGTGTTCCTTCTCTATTTCTGAAACTCAGCTTCTGGTCCAGCAGACAACATGTGCAAGGCAGAATGGCATGCTTGAAGATGCCACAGCCTGGTGTGGTAAGCTTGTGGTTTAGAGAAAGCCTTAGCACACTAGGAGTCAATTTTTGGTTGCTACATGCTGGAGTCTTTTTTTCCCTTGGGTTAGAGGATGATGATCCGTTCATCCTTTGCCCATTATCTACAGTGACCTTCATTTAATTGCCCAGTCCTGCCCTCACTGAAATTTCTGTGCCCTAGACTTTCACATCCTCTCCCAATAACGGGGATTATGCTGGAGTTGATTAGTGATGAATTCTAGCCATTCTGGTTACATGCTGTGTGCAGGTTAGCTGCAAATCTAACTTAAATAGAGTGGTCTCATGAGGTTAGTATTTCCAAAGTTCTCATGATTAGTGCTTTCTTTATCAGGTACCACATATTCTTAATTTGCTTTAATTGAGCAGTAAAGGGCTAGATTTGTTCTGACTTGTCAAATAAATCTTCAGGGCTATTATATTTACTTACTGTTCTTTTGTTTCAGTTGTAGGTTACTAGTATTGTCACCAGTTCTGTGTTGTTACTTTAATGTGACCACTGATAGCACTCTATAAAAATAAGCTAAAGCATAGGAAAAAGGATATTCTGAGTTACTTTTTTTTATATTGCAGTCTGAAGATGTGAACTGCATTGCTGAACATTGTGGGGATGGACTAAACTGAGGTCAGTAATTACCTTTAAAACTGCTATTTATGACTGACCAATAAGTGTCCTGGAAGATATTGGGTAGCATCCCAGGAAAGAGTAAAATATTTGAAACGCTTATATAAGCAGACTGCTGAATACACTTATACAGTATTCAGTGTTAAAAATAAATTACTTTTCTACCATTGAAATTTGGACTGGCTGCACAACAGGACTGGAAACCAGTGTATATTTCATAGCAGAAACTGTCTAGATGAGTTAAAGAAAGCAATAGCTAAGTATCAAATACATACTTAATTTGTTGTGGTTTAACAGAGGTAATGTAAAATGAATATGGTTGTGGCGGCGAGGTGCCCCCACAGGCTCTCAAGGGAGAGAGAAGAGAGCCCGTGGACCCCAGACCTCGAGACCAAGCCCCCAGAGGGGCGTATGTACCTCCCGGAGAGCAGCAGGAGCAGAAGCCGCGGCCGCAGCCACACAAACCCGCATTACGC